TTCTTATCTTCACTTTTCCTTTTTTATATCATAAGAGAAGACTGAAATTACAAATATAACTAGTTAGAGCAATTAGCAAAAATGAAGAAATAAAATGTCGCCGGAAACAAGCATGACCCCGTCTGGCCCTCCTTTCCTCTCTGCGTGGGTGCGTTTGTTTTTTCAACATGCCACAAACCCTATGGTTGAGTACACTAAACTGTATTTCACTGACGACTTCAAAAGGGGGTGGAGGAAACTTAGAGACTCAATGAAACGTCTGTGTGTGTGTGTGTGTGTGTGTGTGTGTGTGTGCGTGCGTGTGTGTGTGCACGGGTGTGTATGTGTGTGTGTATTTTGTATTTTGGGTTGTGTGTGTGCAGCTATTATCATGCCTCCAGGGTGTGTTTTCTTTTTAAAGCTTTCTTGCTGGAAGAAAATACACCTTCGATGTGCCGACATCCGGAAGGAAGTGATGCAATTATTTCAATCAAGGTTACATATAAACAGTGGAGTTCGGAGTTTCCTTCAGCATTTCCACGCCAATCGAGCTTCTACTGTTTCCATACGTGGCTCAGAATAGGCTCAGACTGGATTCTGCTGTCTGCTGCTTACAAACACTGAACCAGGACTACTGCTACACTCACATCAGCTCTCAAGCTTACAGAAAGGTAAGAATGGTGATTCACTGAGTGACGGATTGATTCTGACCTATATTTTTATTCTTATATTAACTCCAAATTTTTTGTATGTTGCAAGTTATGTAAATGGTAGATTATCATTATCACATATTTAGTCTTTAAAATATTTGTATTTAACCACAACCTTGTGTTTAATTTTTATTTTTTTTATTTTAACAGTTTTCCTTAAGTAACCCTGTATTTTGAATTGACTTGTAATTAGTTACAATGCTACTCTCATCCTCTATCTCCATCACAGAATGAAGGTCACCATAATCATCTTTTTCCTGATTGGAACTATTTTTGCCAACCCAGTACGTATGAAAATGAGAGCACAAGGCTTAAAAACAAAATACTATTCACTGCAAACATTCTGCAATTTACTACACATTTTACATTTTTATGCTTTTTGTACGTTTTATTTTAAGGAAATAACCAATTTGTTTTCTTACATTGTGCTTCAGTTTGTCCTTAGTTTCATTTCTAGAATGTGAGCTTTCCCCGCTGCAGAATAAATATCTATGCAAAGCAGAAAGGAACGTTAAAGAGTCCATATTGATTATGTGGTTATCTCGTTTTTTTAAGATTATGATCATATTTTTAATTTGTCACAATAATGATCTGTGATTTCCTCCTGACAGATTTCATTCAGTGCTGTTTTGCTATCAAGCGAGCTTGACTCAAACTCGGTAAGTGCTAATAAACACAAGTTATTTCTTCATACTATAAAATTTGATTCCTGTTGTTACATTGCATGAACTAGACACTGTTTACACATTAATCATTTAACAGCAGTCGAGTTGTGTTCGCTTTGTCAAAGTCAGTAGATACTGTAACAATAAGTGCGGTTACCCAACGATTCTACGGACCTCAAGACCATTCTCCTCCGAGCAGACTATTGTTTACTGAGCTGACTGTGTGGGCTCAGTTATGCAGCTTATTCAGGGTGGAATCAATGGATCTTGAATGAATGTGATGATTGTTGTTGCTGTAGTTATAATATGTAATTAAATAAACTGGGGTTGTTTGTGTAATTAAATGTACTGTGGCTTGTGCTTACTTGTTGTTTTCTCTCCTAGACTGAAAGTTTGTCTGTTTCACAATCTTCTGAAAATGACACCTCAGAGCTGATGGTAAAGTATACATTCATTCCAGTAAAGAGTACATTATAATTGTGTGATGGAGATCACCTTATGCATGTTTTTTTTATTCTGATATTCATCCTGTGGGTGTTTCTGTTGCAGAGCTCTGAAGAAAATATTTCAAGTCAGGTAAGTTATTTCAAGGGTTTTATGTTCTGCATGACTAAAGAAGCAAATTTGAAAGACAAAGAACAACCAAATCAACTAATCTGACTTTGTCTTGTGAATGTTACACTTGTTTATATTGTTATATTGTTTTCTCTTCTCAGAGTCAGAGTTCAGAGTCACAATCATTAGAATCCACGTCGGAGGACACGGTGGGTTGAATTTTTCTAAACGTAATATCCATTAGGAGGCATTGCTTTGCAAATGTAACACATTCAGCATGTTATTACCAAGTTCATATGTTTCAAATGTATTGGTGCACACTCACAATAAATATGAAATGAATGGTTATAAAGTAGAATAGACTAAAGAAAAAGTAATGTTTTGGTGAACCTACACGCTAACAAATGTAAAGCATAATTATCGTATAATTTACCAAGATGATGTGTTTATTTTCCACAAACAGACTTCAGAGGAGAGCAACAGTCTGTCAGAGGAGGATGATGAGGTAAGAGCAGACAAATCAAGTCTTTTGTTGAACCTAAAATCTAAATCGCCAACTGTTCATATATGACACAGCATCCTTCTGGTCTGCGTTAAGCTCATTTTATTAAATCTGTTTCCACAGACGGACTCTCTGGCAGAAACCAGGGATGACAGCATGGGCAGTGAGGAGAACGTTCGAAAGGTGGGATATAGGCTCACTCAGTTTTACACTTTGTGCTTCTTTGGCAGAGATGAAAGTTTTGTGACACTTTCCTTCACTTGTGTTTGCATCAGAGCTGGGTCAGAGTGTTCGCAAGTGTGATCAAAATACTGAGTGGAGAGGACAACAGCAGCAGCACAGAAGCCAAGGGTCCATCCATCGACCACACTGAGAAGCAGCCCACTCACACGTCCACTGGCACCACTTTCAAACAGAGGACCAACATGGCTCAGGGTCACACAGACCTACAGACTACCACAGACAGCAGTGACACAACCAGCGACAGCACAGACTCCAGCAATGACACCGGGGAAACAGCTGCCACCAGTGACAGCAGCGAGAGCAACAGCAGAGAAAGCAATGAGACCGACGAGACCAGTGAGGACAGCGACAGCAGTGAGGCCAGCAAAAGTTCAGAGAGAGAGTAATGCCAGTGACAGCAACGAGCTGAAACAACTCAGAGACTGTGTGAATGGGACACAGAGCTGCGAAAGTGAAGAGTATTTCTTCCAGGACATCGGAGACGATGCCCATTACTCAGTGGACAATCTGATGGTTCCAGATGACAATGAAAGGGAGTTCATTTTAAGGAGATGATGACATGCACTTGCGCAGTCATTTCCAACTATGAACTACAACACCATCAAATGAAGACTTCAGAATGACATATTTGCTCATACCCATCGCTTCTGAATGTTTTATTTTCCCATATAATGTTACCTGCAGCTGATTGATTATTTTTATTATTATAGTTATTATTATTATTGTGGGGATGATTTTATTGCCTAAGCATTTACCTTGTTTTAAAGTATTAATAAACTAATAACCGTTGTTTTGGGTGCTTGCATGCTTTAAGCTTTAAGTTATTTAGACATGTAGTGGAAAAACTAATATCCCAACATTTAGACCTGCTCAGGTTTATAGTTGTAGTTAGCTATTTATTTTGAATTGCTGTACCTTACAGAAGACAATTGGTCTTTTTAAAATATTCATACATTTAATAAATAAGTAGCACTTTGCTGACTATGATTTGAAATGCAAAAATCCCAAGACTGTATTTTGATTAGCTATAAATATTACCTACCAATGTATAGGATAAAGCAGTTCAAATAAACTCAGCTGTAAGGCAAATCCAGCAATTTAACATAAAGTATAGTAGACCTATGAAGGCTAATATACTCTATGTTTCATGAGCTTTATAATTGTTTAGCGCATTTATGTTTATAAAAAGCAGCAAAAGTGAATGCTATAAATGTGTACACTTTTACTGATAGTTCTGATATTTTCTTCCACCACATGGATTATACAACAATAAAAAAAGCAATTGATTCACAAGTTTATCACCTATGACGTTGATGATAATGATATTGATGATGATAATAAAAATGTTGTTGATGTTGCAATCTCCATGATGATGATGATAACATTGATGTGGAAGTTATTTGTGCTGTTGTTGTTGATGGTGATAAGCAATGATTATTAAAATAAGAAGGAAAAACTATTTGCATAGCTACCCTTTGCATTGTCTCTGTGCGATGCCTGTCAGCACCTGTCCGATTGAACTTGAAGCTGCACCACAGACTTTAAAAATAACCCTGTTGTATACAGTATCTCCTCCTGTTTAGATCCTAGATGGACTTCTCTTCTGGACAATAAACGCCTTCAAAAGTACCTTCAATTAAATTGTGACATTGTAACACATGAGAATAGTTAGTCGCTATAGTAACTTAGAGAGACTTATTTTGTTGAGCTCATAAATTATTGAGTAAATATTCGTAAAAACTACTAACAGTAAAATTGTGTTATAAAATCACGACGTAAACATGGCCGGTTAGCTCAGTTGGTTAGAGCGTGGTGCTAATAACGCCAAGGTCGCGGGTTCGATCCCCGTACGGGCCACACTACCTTTTTTTTTTTTTTAATATTATTATTATAATATAATATTATATATATAATTTAAACAATTGCACTTTAAAATATGAATGATGTTCTTGGTTTGGCACAATCTTTACGTGTCAAAATTATTGTATTCATAGAACCCCGTTTGTTTATGTGGCCTGGTTCTGTCAAAAAAAAAGGCACTAGATGGCGACAGAGTCCATCTACTCCAGATAAAGCCTGAGCATTTACAAATACAGTGTGTATCATCTAATCAGTACACTAAAGGAGGAAGTTGTCCAATTCTAACCAGTATTAAATAAAATTGGGGGTTAAAAAAATACTGTGGACAAAGGATAAACAAAAGTGAGTTGTCAGCCACAGTAACTGTGTGTATGGACTATGACTGTACTACGGCTAACCTCTGCACTCCTTTATTATTTTTAGACACATTTCAGTTCTGTGTTGTACTACTAAAGAGGGCATTGGGGGAAATAATCCAGTATTCAGTTCAGTGGACAAATATTTATTACAACACATTCAAACATGTAGGAAAATAGAAAGAAAACAGAAGCAGTATCCCTCATTACAAACTAAGGAAGGAAAAAAAGCCTACAAATGAAATCCAAAATATAATGCGAGCATCTTTATAATAACTCTTTTCAAACCTACTGATAAAGGAAGTCTAACAAACCAAAATCAGAATTAACAGGCAAAATGTATGCCAAACAAACTACAGTCCAATGACTGAACCAGTAAACATATGCTGCATTATCATCTCTTTGAGTTGGATGTCCTAGCTGGGGAAGTGAGACTTCAGGTGTTCCTTCAGAGCTGGTATAGTGGGAAGCTCTTTTCGGCACATGTGACAGCGGAGAGGTAGTTTCAGCAACTCAGTGGTTCCTTCTTTGACGGCAACCCTTCCATCTGTTTCAAGCATCTGAATCACATCTGCAGATTAAAGACACATGAAGGCTGTCAGTACAAATGTGCTGTGACTAATATGATGAACAACTTGCACTTTACTTGCTCTCACCATGTGACTCAATAAAATAGTCAGTTGTGAAAGAGTTCCAGTGTTTTTTATTCTTTAAACACGGAGAGTCAAAGTCTTGGCTGATCACGTGGAGATGAACATGACTGTAAAAGAGAACATAACTTTTTTTTTTTTTGTGGTCAAATATTCCAAGAAGAAAGTCTAGATGGCTCAACACTAGGGAGGAAAATCAAATCTCAGAGATTTAACGATTCTGGTAACAAGACAAATTTCACAAGTGTTTGACAAAAACAGCCTGAGTTTGAGATAATAAATAATCAAT